AGTGGGGAGCAGCATCTGAGGGCAAAAATGACAAGATAAACTGACTGTAATTTAAATCGAAAGAAAACCAGAAAAAACCAAACAAACATGAAAACAAAACCAACCCAAATCCCTAAATATTTATGAAAATAGTTGTAATTTTATACTTCAGGGAAAAAAAAGAGCATGTGTTCTCAGTTGTTTGGAATGACAGGTTCAGGTTGTGGGAGTGCTTGCTGCATTACAGTGAATTTATCCAGCGGACATACCTAGTTTATAGTGATTTCTCAAATCATATTTTTGTTCATAAGATGGTTATTTATTAACACCATTTGAAAGGAGTCATTATGTTCCTTTTCACTGGTGAGGCATCCAAAAGTCTGGTACAGTTAAAATGCTCATCGGTGTTCCCAGGTGATGGCCTCTTCACATTCAGTTGCTGACAGAGCTGCTGCCTTAAAGACATTTGCTTTCCACAGGATTCTAAATATTGTTTCTATTGTAATAAACCCAAATGGAAATATTTTAATAATGATTGAAGAGTGTGCGTTGTCTTTTTTTGGTGTTTAAGTTTGTAAGCCCTAAACTCTTTCTGAGCTGAAATCATATGCAGTGTTACCACCAAAAATAGTTCTTAATACGGTAGTTCCTTACCAAACAAATTTAATTAGTGTGTGTTTGATATATCAACAGGGATGCTAAAAATGAAGTTTAAATGTAGAAATCAGCTGGATGAATGTGACTTGTGGGGTTACTGTCCTTTGCGATCTCGTCGTGCTACTTCAAAGTGCAGTTCATCATTTTGGGATTCTTATTTGACCCATAATGTATTTTAGCCTTGTTTCCTAAGAACACAAGGTGTATGCAACTCCACCTGCCACTGCTGTTCTGCTTTCTTCCCCTTTTCCTGTGTGTTGCACTGCAAACTTCCTTAATTGCTGAACCATTCCAGCTCAAAATGGATGGAGATGCAGGTATCAAAGCGCATTAAACTTCTGTGAGTTATGAAAAATCTGGATAGAGTGAAGTCAAAGTATTCAAAGCCGTGAGAAAGAAGGTTATTGAAGTATAGGGTACAGGTAATGTTCCTGTAGGAGCTTGGCTTAAGTGAAGAGCATCTGGATTTTAGCAAGTGTGCGATAAAAGAAGACTCTGCAGTTAATGATTCAAAAATAATGAGAAACTTTGTGGCAGCTGAGAGACCTAAACACTGTGCAGTGTAGTTTTTTAAGAAAAAAATGCTGGGAGGCAAAAGATTCTTGGATTTTTTTCTGCGTATTCTCAATGAAAATGATAAAATATTGATCAAGTCTGTTTAATGAGTGTACTTTGCAGGCTTAGAAATGAACAGCAGCTTTAACACGTGCTCCTGAATGGATGTTGTATGTTGTGTGTGCTTACTGCGTGACTTCAACTGAAAATAATCACCTTCAGTAATTGCGCTTGTGTTATGTGCAGTGTTATTTCTCCAGGTGGAAACCAGCAGCTGTTCTGTAAATGCAGACCCTTGAGGCTATCCAGTGTGTCCGTATTGCTCTAGATGCTATTCAGCTGCTTTCTGAGAGCACAGAGGATACCCGCTGAGTTTGGTAGAGCTAACCACAGGATCCGAATTAAGATCTGTCCTCTAAATCTTTAAAATTCAGACTGGTTTTAAAATACTTCCATTAAAAACTTTTCAGTCTGGCAGGATTTAGGTTGGTGCGATTCACATCTGGGATCTGGTAATGAGCAGCGCTGAACTCCTCTAATAACACCGTACTGTTTCAGCCAGTCGTTAGTACTTTTTCTGGTGATGTGGTACTCTCCAGTAGCTAACACTGCACCAGCAAGCTGTATATGGTGATATACATATGTGTGTGGTGTATATTGTCTGCTTCCCCCCCCGACCCCCCAAAACCAAATGCTGAAGGGAAGTAAGGTCAAAGAGTAGTGGGAATAGCTGTTCGCTTTGGTGTTGGGAGGATGGGGCTGTGGTAAGAGGAAGGGTTAGGCTGCAAATGGAGGTTTTCTTGCCCACTTTCAAAAGTGCTATTTCCTCTTGCGGTGAAGCGCTTTGTAGAATTACACCCCCATCTGTAGACTTGATCTGGCCAAGTGAAGACACAAGACGTACAGAAGCAGGTCGCTCTCAGTTTGAAATTCACTTTTTAATTTACGAATTCACTTTCACCTGTTTTTTCTACTTGTGGGTTGTGATTTGTTGGCTGGTTTTTTTTTTAACCAAGTACTGCTTGACATGGTAGATAAACTTTTTACCCAGGACTTACGGCATCAAAACAGGCAGATAGATATTTTCAGACATAAGAGGTACAGCAAACTTTGCAGTAGGAATATCGCTCACAATCAGTTAAGGGACAAAATCAAAAGACCTCTTTTTCCTGGGACACGAATATTTACAGACCTTGTAATAGTGGAGACTGAGCGCTTTGACAACCGTTTTCTGTACTTTAAAGAAATGGAAAGGAACTGGAAAGAAAACTGGTGGTTTTGTCTGCAGTGTAATGTATCTACATGTCAAAACCCAGATGATTTAATTTTGTAGTTTCTCGGGATTCTAATATTTGCATTTTCTCTTAATCCAGATTCAGGATCCAGCCCGTGGTATGGCTGGCAGTGGATCCAGAGCAGGACCGTCCAGTGGGTTGTCCATGAAATCACAGCTTCAGATCACTGGTGAGCCTCTTGAAAGGATGTGTCTTTGCTGGTTAGAAATGTAAACGTGTTTTTAAAATGAAACGGAAGTTCCTGGTGGGGTGCATTTCAGGAAGCTGAGTTGTACAAACACCAAGAGAAGCTGCACGGTAAAATTGATGGCGTTGTGCCGTCATTAGTTGGCAGAAATACAGCTGGTTTAGTCAGGATTTTATCCAAAATGCATTCTGAAATGGTAGAGATTTTTTTTGTGTTTAAAAAAAGGAATAATTCTTTTTGACTGCTGTTCAGTAAATGAACGATCCTCTTTGAAATGTAAGAATGTGATCTGGTACTGTTTTCAGTTACTCACACCTGACATAACACCAGATGTAACACTTTCTCCTAGCAATCTTTTTATATCTCAAGCGAAATGAATGTAAACTGCTGTTCATTAAATTTCCCTACTTCTCTCTTGTTACGTGTTTTTATGGCCACCATTGTAAGGAACTTTAATAAAAGTGTTGGTGAGAATAATTACTGTGATTGAGCACCCGTAGACTGCATAGAAATGGATTTACTTTCGCTTTGCTTCTTGCAGTGCCCCACCAACAGAGCAGCTTTTGAAACTTAAATGCCGAATTTTCTTCACTTTTGCTCTCTGACAAATTTTAGGAAAGCATAAAAGCTGAAGGCTGGGAATGGGAGATCTGTGGATGCGTGCAGGTCTGTGTTTAGAAGTATCAAGGGTAAATTTTGCACCCTCAGTGCAGATGATCTTGTGGGTGTATGCGGAAGTTTCAGAAAGTTAATGTTGCAGAGATGAGTTGTCAAAAATAGATGAGAAACCTTTAGAGCAGAAAGGGAACTCAGTCAGTTACTCTGGCTGTAGCTGGCACACTGAGGGCACAAACTTGTTTTTTTTCTCAGTAGGCCATGGGACTTTAAGAGAAATCTTGTCCCTACAGATTGATACTGGAGAGAAAAATTGAAGAGGTTTGGAAGGAGGAATATCCTCCACACAGCGATGGAGAGCAGAGCTAAGGGTTGAAATGACTGTCAAACGCTTGCTCCATTAAAGGCCAGTGACTCCCATAAAGACTGAAGTTAAAGAAGTGTCTCAGTGGTTACAGTTGAGGCTGATTGCTGGAGATGTTGAGGCATGAAATGCTGTAGTATAGAAGTGGTACATATTAAAATATGGATATGGATTTCCCTTCCCTAGAAGGGAGGGGAAAGGGAGCTATTTGTGAAAATTAATGTTAGCTAACTGAGGTGAATTTCTGTAAGATGTCTGTAATGCAGAGAGAAGGAGTTTCCCTTGGGAGCTGTTGAGAGCAGTTTATACTAAGCTACTTCTCTAAAGCTCTGAAGGAGCAGAGACTATAAAGGGAATCTAGGTAGATTAGCCATATGGGCTTCAATTAGGCGTCTTTTCTTAAGGAAGCAGTGCAGTGCGGTGGATGGTGACAACACAGCAGACCAAGTTGTTGTTTGTTAGAAGAGCCTGAAGTTCTTTGGCCAATTGGAAATTATAATAAATTTGTTTTAAGTACTGTTTTGTGAGTTTAGTGATGCCAAGGAGTTGAAGAGCACTCCTGATCTGATGTCAGGGGTCGAATTTTGCACAGGTATGCTGCTTTGACTGCATGGTGGTAATTCAGGACAGGAGCATTGCAGTCAGTGATGCTGAATTTAAAAAAATAAATGAATAAGAATAATAATAATTTAAAAAACCCAAAACCAACCAATCAAACAAAAAAATCCCCAGAAAAACCTTAAACCAAAACCAATCAAAGAAAAAAAACCAAAGCACATCACCCCTTACCCCCAGTAAAGCTCTGGAGCTGCAGGCCCTGTGCAGGTTTTGTTGTCTCTGGAGCAGTTGGTAGTTGTTGGAACTCAGAGTTTGCCTTTAGTTGTTATCTTTTCCTTAAGTTTGCTTTGGTACAGAAAGCTCAACACAACATTCTTTGTCTTAACGATCTTTTCACTGCAAGTGGTGATGTTTTTCCACGGGTCCTTAATGAGAGACCCAGATCGTGTTTTGAGGTTTTTAATGGACAAATGTCATCAACTCCAGGAATTCTCTTGGCTGCTGATTGACAGGAGGAGGTTGTGGGGGATATTTTCTATTTTCAACACCTAAGTGCTTTTGTGGATCTTATTGATTGTATAGTCTCATGCTGTAGAAGTACTGTAGCATGTTGTAGGCATTGGTGGGAGCTGTAGCATTGTATAAAATGATCTGGAGTGCAAGAGCACTTTTTCCATCTAATATATTGGTCTTGAGCATTATTGTCAGACATCAATGACCTGATACTTGGATAATGAAGCACACAACTGAAAAAGATGATTTGCAATTGAAATCTTCATGGGTAAATTATTATTTTTCTCTTTCTTAACAGTTATTTCTGCAAAACTGAAAGAAAAAAATAAATGGTTTGGACCTAGCCCTTATGTGGAAGTCTCAGTAGATGGACAGTCAAAGAAGACAGAAAAATGCAACAATACAAACAGTCCGAAGTGGAAACAGCACCTTACAGTGTAGGTTTGATGGCTTTGTGCTCCATTTTGTTTGAAATAATTGTTAGCATTTCCAAGTACTTTCCTTTTATGAGACATCCTAAATTTTTCTGATAACCTCTTCAGAAAGCAAATTTGCCGTCATCTTTGTGTGAAAAATTCTCCCATCAAGGTACACAAATGCTGAACGCTCATGAAATGTGAACCTACAGGAACCAGTCTTTTTTTCTAACCCTGGTTCCACTCAGTCGATAATTGGTATTTCCCTTAAAATAGTAATAACATAAAATGTACTCAGTCTGTGAACAGTCTTGCAGCAGTCCTGATTTACCTGACATAAACGTGACCACATACGTGAATGCGATAATGAGAAATGGTTTGGACAGTTGAAGTAGCTTGCTCAGTTCACCCACCTCCCCTGCCAAGAAATGCCCTTATACAGCGCTCAATTTTTGTCTTTTCAGAATTGTCACTCCTGTAAGTAAATTAAACTTTCGAGTCTGGAGCCATCAAACATTAAAATCCGATGTCCTGCTGGGAAGTGCAGCTCTGGATATTCATGAGACTTTGAAATCAAACAGTATGAAACGTAAGTATGAGATCAACGATACCTTGAACTACTGCAGATTCTGCGTGGAATCCTCTGTTAATGGGTGCTGTGTGCAACTCTGAGGATGTCCCTGGAGAATTCCTTTTGTTGCTACAGAGATTGCATTTGTGAGCGTCCTCCTACGTTTTCAGTGTAATCTTTTTTCATTCTACGCAGTCTGTGATGGTATCATTGAAAACACGGTATTACACAGAATCACAGAATCCCAGAACGTTAGGGATTGGAAGGGACCTCAAAAGCTCATCCAGTCCAATCCCCCTGCCGGAGCAGGAACACCCAGATGAGGTTACACAGGAAGGCATCCAGGCGGGTTTTGAATGTCTGCAGAGAAGGAGACTCCACAACCTCTCTGGGCAGCCTGGGCCAGGGCTCTGTCACCCTCACTGAGAAGAAGTTTCTTCTCAAATTTAAGTGGAACCTCCTGTGTTCCAGTTTGTGTCCATTACCCCTTGTCCTATCACTGTTTGTCACCGAGAAGAGCCTGGCTCCATCCTCGTGACACTCACCTATGTGCAAGAGTGAAAGGCTGCTTCAAAGAGCGTTTCCTTTTATATAGCTTAGAAATGAAAACTCTGATGTGCCTCTGGTGCTAGACCAGGAAATGTCTGAAGTTACTTTTGTTCTAAATAAGTGCTATAGGGATAACATAAAAATGTAAAATATATAAAGCTGTGGAGAGACAGAGATGGCTGATGTTTGGTTCCTTGTTTTGGTTTTGGTTTTTTTTCCTTGGTTGCTGTGTTCTGTGTTTGGCTTCTTGAATGAAATGCACCTTTGTGGTCACGTAGTAAGATAAACTCCCATTCTTTTCTGTGCTTTTTCAGTTGAGCAGGTGGTGGTGACGTTGCACCTCGTTGGTGACAGAGAACCAGCAGAGGTGGTGGGAGATTTGTCTGTCTGCCTCGATGGGATGCAGGTCGATCCTGAGCTCCTAACCAATGGTGACGCCTCAAGCACAAGAAGTAAGTAACTTCCAGTTCAAATGTGCCCTCTGAAAATATATCTGTATGCAAAGCTTTAACACAGTGTTTTAGTAATGATAACCAGTGGTTTCTGTAACTTCCTGTTTGTAGAGACCAGAACTCTTACCCATTTTTATTTGAGGTGGAGTTGTAGTTCACAGTGAAGATTTTTAGCCTTACTGTAATGAAAATAAGATCAACATCTTTATTTTCTAGACTTTGCTAACTTCTGTCTAGCAATCCCAAACTTTAACGAAAGCCTCTAGCTTCCCTGAATGTTTAATAACATCATAAACAAAAGAATATAAAATAAGTTAGTTTGATATAATAATAACAGTAGTAAGTATTCTGCTCACTGGGAATCCTGGGTTTATATTATTTTTTTCTTAAAATATGTCATTTAAATGAATGTCTTCATAGATTTTTGTTCTCTGTGGAGCACTGTAGAGAGGATCCCACTATTCTGTTTAGTTGGTGTCTTCAGTTTCAGATCACCAGTATGATTTTTAACTGAAAATCTTGAGCACGTGTTAAAAGGATCCCTCACGTGATCTGATGGTGGGGGTTTTTTCTGTAAATAAAAGCCAGACGCTGGGATTGTGTGGGGTTTGTGGAGCAGGGCTGAGGTTTGTTGGTAGAAGTACCTAGTGAAAGTAACAGATTTCCCTCTTATGCAGTACTTGGGTTTCATCTCTGCTTTCTTCCATTTCTTGACATTCACCTATTGAGAAAAAGGTGCTACCAAGTAGAAGAAATACAAATGTGTTGTTTATTGAGATTTCTGCTTCTGGGATTAAAATCACTTGCACGCACAGCCCAATAACAGCACATTACCGTAAGCCTTTACGTGACGCCATCCTTGTTGTTGGTTTAGATCTGTACGTAGTTCCCATCAGAATTGATAGCTGATTTCTTTGTTAATGGCATTTGCTTAATGTTATGGGAATAAAGTATTTGTGCTGTCTACGTGAATGAGGAGTTCTGCGCTGCATATTTAAGTGTTGCAAATGCTGGCACAAAAGGCAAGTGTTTCCAAGCTGTCTGAATAAGCAGTCGCAAAACGTTTGCAGATCTAGGCTGTGCTGCTGTAATTCCATCTGGAGTGCAGCCATATTTTGTACCTGCCTGAATGGCTTTGTGTAAAATGGTGTACAGAGGACGGGAAAGGTCCAGGTTAGAGAGCCCCAGAAAGCAAAGCCCCTGCGGTTGCTTGCTGGTGAACCAGAGAGATTTTGGAGAAGTTGTTGTCCTTTCTGCTCTGCCGGTCGTCATTGAAAAGGGAGAAAATAGGAGAAGTCAGCTCCTTGAAGAATGGAGAGCACTGCTTGATACTGCCACAAAGACAGGAGACAACGTGATTGTCTTTGGGAATATTCATACCATCAAATGGTATCTTCTTATGTCCTCCATAAGGTGAAAATAAAACTCCCAGTGGCAGTGGTTTAAATAAAATGTATACACACACGTGCGTCTAAATAGAGGCATGCAGAATATATGCAGTTTTGAAATAAGGTGGTGGATAAGCAGCACATAGTGGATCACCTCTACATGTGAAAGAGATGTGAGCATTAAAGACTGCTTCTTTTATTGGCAATTGTTCAGGATGTTGCTTGTAATTCTGCTGTTAATTTTTCTTTCTGGTGTTTAAGGTCCTACGCAGAGTGATAGCTCCAAAGTAAGGAACGAAACACGGTAAGACTTCTTTCCTCTTTCTGTTTTTAGATTGCCTTTTAGTGTCTGCAGTTTTGAAATAGGAATTGTATGTTTTATAAAGACAACAAGTGAGCAATTTCTCAGTATACCCTGCAACAGTATTGGTTAAGATCCGAGCATGTGCGAAACAAAAGTACTGTACCGTTGTACCTTCACATCTTAAATTGTTTTCCATATGAACCCCATCTTTTAGCTTCAGTTTGCCTCCATATCTGACTGATCCTCTGGGTTTTTTTTTCTTTTTGTGTTCTTCATCCAATGATTAACCAAAATAAAATAAAACCGAAAATGAAATCGTACTGGTGAGTAGATGGCAGTGGTTATTTTTACACTGTTTTGCTTTGTAGCGTGGAGGTATCGGAATTATATTTAGCTTTGTTAAGAAGATAGCAAAAGCTGTCTGGCAGTTGCAGTGATTTAAGGTCGATAGCAGATTATGTGCCCTGCTGCTTGGTGGGATAAAAGCGTGACTGTACTTGATGGTAGATTAACCTGCAATGAGCACCCTGCCACTTCAACTAGTTCCCAGTACTACAAGTATTTTAAGGGTCGGTCTGTACAATGCACAGTGCTCTTTGATGACATCTGGAGTAGCTAAGTCAAATGTCACTGTTTTGTAATAGATCATGGCTCTTAGCTGTGTCATCTGAAGTCTTTCCATGAAAGATTTTGTTCTGTTTCGTTTTCATGCTCAGAAGAATGCTTCTGCACTTGGATTTCCATACTACCCGAGTGTGTAACAGTGTATTAATTACAGTAATAATAGCTGATTCGGGTTTAGTACCAGCCAGCAGGGTTTTCAGTGTCCATTAAAGTTCCATTTTGAGGACCATGTAAATTATCTACAATGTGTCTAGCAGTGGTTATCGTTACGTGTATAATAGTTTTGATACGCATTGTTACACCTTAAGCAAACCGGTCAAATACACTGAAGATTAAAGGTTGTACTTTTGACTTCCATGTTCAAACAGCAGCAGGATGCTTTCTGAGACTGAGGAAAACCAAGGCTATCGCTCTGACAAGCTTCAGATCACTGAAGATTTGTACATGTTTCATAGCTGTTAACTTTGGCGTTGGTGTGGCATGGTATGAATTGTGCACCACACCTGGTAGAGAGCAGAAGTGTGTTTGACAGTGATACTGAGGTCAAAAGTACATTACATTCTACTTGATCCTTGTGATTTACTTAGGCTGAGCTACTGCTGTTTATTTTGTGTATATTTAAAGGTGCTGGGCTGAAACCATAACCTGTGGTGTTATTACAGGTGGCCTATGTGCTTGACCTGCCAATCCACTAGGATTTTAGTTGACAATCTTTTTATTTTGCTGAACGTATTCTGAAAATAAAATTATTTAGAAGTAAATATGTAGATACATGTAACTCCTTAAGGAGCTACAAATATATCAAGAGTAATACACTGCTAGGTATAACTGAACAGTACAGAATGGATGAGGGCTGCTGTTTAATTTTTTAATTCTTCTTAAGTTGAGAAGCTTATATTCATAGCTGTTGATCAAAACTTCAGGGCTTACTCCTAAATTCTTCAGTGCTTTCTAGAATTGAGTTTAGGGGGAAAACTGAAGCACTCTGTGCGTGCTGAGCGTACGTGGAGCAAACGTGCACGGGCTGTGCTCAGGCCGTAGTGAGCTCCCATCTCATTTGAGACAAGTGGAATTCATGGACAGAAACAGCTGAGCAAAACCCAGAGCCTGGACCTAAAGGCAGGTGTACTGAGTTGGGAAATGGGAGAGGAGATTCCAGTGACAGATGTTATATACACCTACTTCACAATCTTCTCATCAGTTGAGGTTTCACATACCTAAGGAGATAAACTTAGTATGTTTATATGCAGTTGTCTAGGTTTTTATGATGATTATGAACGTAAGACTCTCACCTAGTCATAGCTGTTACATTCTAGTGTCTTCCATAAAGTTCGGTGTTATCTATGCAGTATTAAAACAGTTCTCCTTTCTGTCTTTTCCTGCAAAAGGACTAACTCAAATGGCCTTGAAAGCTGTGAAGATGCTGCTCCCAGTGAAAACAAGACTGTTAACGGCAGCGATTCCCCATTGCTCACAAATGGAAACTGCAAACCTGCGAGACCTCCCAGGCCTTCGAGACCACCTCCTCCCACTCCCCGCAGACCCACGTCAGTAGCTGGTAGGTTTTGAACCTTTCATGCTTATTATCTCCTAAATCATTATTTGAGGTAATAAATGGAGAATAATTAACTCATCAATGCGAGAAAGTAGGGGTTTTTGTTTATAATTGTGAAGTGTTTACAGGATGCAGACAACTTGCTTTGGTAAATATAATGGATTCTACCAGGAATAGAAAAATTGTGCCATTGATGGCAGTCATTGGATTAAAGCATTTTTACAAAGAGACAAAGTTGCTTTTTAGTTTTTGTGCTAAGCTTTTTGTGGCTGTACGTGTGCACTTTAAAACACCAGTTCTTGCACGGTTACTTTTGAGGTTTACAACTAAAATAGATCAGTGATAAATATCAATTAAAGGCTTTTTTCCCTTCTGTTTGCTCTCTCTGATATCACAGCAACTGTAAATGGTCCTTCATCCTCATCCACATCCACAGAAAGCGATGGGACCAGTGCGGGATCGCTGGCGGGTCCAGCTGCAAATTCATCGGCAGAGCAGAGCCCTCAGGGGGCAACTGCTGCAACAGCAGCTCCTGCAACTGCTGCGCTCACCACACCTCCAGTGTCAAGGCAGGTCCAGACAGTAAATCCTCCAGCACAGACACTTTCTACAGTCAGTCAAGGTCCTCTTCCACCTGGGTACGAGTTTACTTCGTTTTATTTTATTTTGTGCTGGTATTTCTGGTTTTACTTTATTTTACTTGATGAGGTGTAACAAAACATTCAGAATATCTGCCTTTTGCTGCATAACAAAAATCCTCCCTGATATTAATTTGGAGGTTTTCATAACTGTTTTGTCTAGTAGGCCTTCAAGCGTGGTTTATTCAAGAAAAGAATTAATCTTTCAGAAAATGTTGCTGTGTCAGTATCCCAAATGCTGTTTATACAGAAAATGTCACCAGTGCCCTTATGATGAACTCTGTGCATACGTGAGCTGTGCAAAATTCGCATGTTTGGAGGATTTCAGTTGAATTAGCGTTACTCTAAAAGGAGATTATGCTCTACAGGTGATTCTGTTCAACAGGTTCTTGATAAAATCGATATTGAATACAAAACTTGGCTTCATTGCTTGCTAAAATTGTGTGCACAGGCATGAATTTTAGCTTCAGTTTGATTGAAGCTGAAGGTTCTCCTGTAGAATATTTTTTGTATTCTAGCTGACATAGAATTACTGTTGATATGAACACTGTGCCACTGTATGTTGTTCAACATTTTGGTGCATCTCGTGAACCAAGCGTTCATTTCAAGCATTTTATTTAGAAATAAGCATTTTATGAAAACAGACATTTTTCGTCCTTATACTGCAGATGAATGGTTGGAGTAGTTTGATCTGGAGGAAGCTAAAAATACTCTTCTATTTGCAGTTGGGAGCAAAGAGTAGACCAGCATGGTCGAGTATACTATGTAGATCATGTTGAAAAAAGAACGACGTGGGATCGCCCCGAGCCTCTTCCTCCCAGGTGAGCCAGGATCAGCCATCCGATTGTTTAGGATATGTCTGGATTTTTCAGAAATTAATTAGCTAGAAAGCATGTTTGTAAACAGAAACGTGAACCCCGTGCAAGTAATTGCTCCAGGTTGTCTCCAGGGAGTTCTGCAACGTTGCGTTGTATATATTTATGTATATATTGCAGCTCATGCTCCAGTGGTTCATAGGCTGTACAGAATTACAAAGTAAAAACATGTGGGATAGTAAAGAGAACTTGATATTAAAGAACAAAACCTGGCAGACGGTCTCATAAAGGGAACCCACCTGTCATACTCGATTTATTTTATAGCTGTTTGAGAGAATTTGCTGATGTATTGCTTAGACTTATTCAGAATGATGTTTTCAGTCAAGCTTTGTAAATAGAACTTATCCTATATGAACTGAAAATCATAAAAAACCCCAACCCAAACCAAACCCCAATGCCTGCACCTTCCTTTTCTGCCAGATCGGTGTGTGAGGAGATCTTGCATTGTACAGCCCAAACTGTCAGGGTTTTTGCTGACTTTTTAGGAGAAACCAGCAGATTATTGTCGTGCGGTTTGGGCAGGATAAAGGCAGTGTTGAAGGTTGTAGCATTGACAGTGATTTGTTTAGTTCTTGAAAACTAAAACAAAATATCCTGAAAGTACAGTAAGTGGAATGAGTTGAGCTTAGTGTGGTATGCAACAAAGTAGAAGTGATTTTGCTCAAACAGTTTTAGCTCTTATGTGGTTTTGGTGGAGGATGAAAATAGAAACAAATGTCTGCTGATGAGCCCATGCTTTATCTCCACTTCCAACCTACTGCCTGTTTGCCTAAAAGTGCTTCTGAGCCCTTAAAACTGTCTGCTGTTGAGAACTGTTGCTTGTACTTTTTTGAAAAGCTGGGAGCGACGAGTCGACAACATGGGAAGAATTTATTATGTTGACCACTTCACTAGAACAACGACGTGGCAGAGACCGACGTTAGAGTCTGTCCGAAACTATGAGCAGTGGCAGCTTCAGCGCAGTCAGCTTCAAGGAGCTATGCAGCAATTTAATCAGAGATTTATATACGGGGTAAGGAATGTAATGATGACTGTAAAGGTTAAGTAAGAGAGAGATCTCTCAAATTTTCAAGCCATTAGTTTGTGTTCTGCATATTGAGAATACATATGTGAGTGTGGGCTTCGGGCATGCTTGTGGGTGGCTTTTCTTCATAAGGATACCAGCCTTTGTAATGGTTTATTTTTGTGATAATTTAGTCTCTGTGTGTGTGTAGCACGGCAGGAGGTAATAACTGGTAACCTTAGTTCATGTCCTTGCAATGTCTACATGCAGTGTAATGGTTTTTCTTTGTCAGCTGAAGGTGTGTGTATAGGTGGTGTTCTTTGATAAAATTTATGTACAATATTGATAAAAGCCATTGGTTTAAAACAAAGTGCAGCTTAGTAATAAACTGGTTTATTTATATTGTGTCTTACATTGGCTTGACCAAAGTCCTGAAGGTAAGCAAGCTCACAGGACGTTTATTTCTGCTTTGTGTAAAGTGAGATATGCACAATGAACGTTATGAAAGCAGGGAAATTGAAAAGAATCCTTCCAGAATTTTAAATCTGATTTATTTTTTACCTCTGATGAGTTGTAAACTACAGATAACTCCAGTTCATGGTACTAGTTTATAATAAATGGTGTGGGTTCTAGATTTGCTGCATGCGTAGAGAATAAAAATGGACCTCCTAAATGGTGGTAGGGGGAACTGTACTGAATGCAGGATTGAAGTGGTTTGCTCTCTGCTTGTTCTGGGTGCTACTGTACTAATTTCCCTTCTACGTAGGCAGGAACACTAAACAAAGAAGAATTATTTTCTTGGCGCTGTAGTTAATGAAGCGTGCCAAGGTCTGTCAAATAGGTCCTCTCTGCAGAGAAAAAGAAATTCTTGGCATCTTTGCTTATATGTAACACTTAAAAAATGCATTTACCTCAATAATTCATGATGGTTATGGTAGAACATCTGGAAAGCAAATGAGGAGTCATTAACGCACCATTTGTTTGTGTGACTTGCAGAACCAGGACTTTTCATCGACGCAGAACAAAGAGTTTGATCCTCTTGGCCCCCTGCCACACGGATGGGGTAAGGCTGACTTGAAAGTGTTTTGTAATGCAGCGTAATTAAACATTAAAGCATGCCCCTGCCAAATGATTGTGTTAGCTGTTCTAGGCTAGTTTTTAAAAATTAAAATCTGGATTAAAAATCTTTTAAAATTAAATCTAATCAAACGCGCTGTTAAAACAGAACCCTGACAGGGATGTGCGATTTCAGAGTAGATTAGAAACTAGAAAGTATTCTGGTTTACTGCCTGTAGTGATCATAATGGCTGCTTTCACACTGCCGTCCTTTGTCAGCCGCTGTCATTAGACACGATTCCTCCCACTGTCCCATTCCTGCCCATGGAATGGTGTCAGATTCTGGCCTGTTTTTAGAGTTTGTTTTCTGTATTCTGGATTTCTCTTGCAAGACCAAATAAAAATTGCAGAAAGAGCTGCAAAATGGTACAGAAGACCAAGACCATTTATCATGAGCTTTGTTCAGTCAGGGGCATACACTAAACTATCTGAGACAAAATATTTCT